TGGAGTCGCTGCTGGAAGATCGGCTCCGGGACCCGCTGCCGCTGGGCGAGCGCGTGGGCCTGGCCGCCTGGCTGGCCAGCCTCTGCGGGGACTGCGTCCTGGACTGGGACGAGTGCGGCGACCGACTCCGGCTGTGCTGGTAATTCCTCTCGGGCCTTCTGCCTCGTACCTCCCGCGTAATATCATCCCTGTAGATATCCCTGTGTACCACGCTGGGCAATGTAAACTGCTCCCGGGCCCTAGGTTCGTAACGGGGGTCGTGAGCATCGAAACGGTTTGGACTTCGACTCCGAGAAGTATAATAGAGCCCGTGTTGTAAAGTCCGCTCTCGAGGATCTCTATAGTAATCCTGATCGTAATGTCTCGTCCGATCAAATCCTCCCGTCCCCCGCTCATGGTGTCCATAGGCACTATGTTCATAAGCACGCTCCCTGTTATCTGAAGCCCTGCATTTAGGAAGGGGGAAAAATACTTCATCAGAAAGGGGCAAGCACAACTAAAAGCAAATCATGCAAACATTCACATCAGCACGGAACTTAATGTTCTTCTCGCGGCTGCTTCTCCACGAAACAGCAATAACCTATCAAGCAAACGCTGACAAACTTAAAAACATTTTACTTGATTCCAAACTTGTATACGATCAAGCTGAGCAATCATTTTGTTTTAATCACAGGATCGGGCTTTCATGGCCAGCACCTTGTCTGCGCAGGAAAATAAATATTGCTTCCCAGTGCAGCACTGTCATTTAAGTTGGGTTTGGTTTTTTTTTTCCTTTTCAAGTCAGTAAAACAGAAAAACTTCATGTTTGTAGACATCATAATTAACTTCCCCCCATCCATTTTTGCTTAAGAGCTCCACATTTTTTTTTTTTTCTGGAATTTGGTAATTGCTGAAGCTCTTCTCATTATCCTTCTGCAAAAATGGCATCGCAAATCAGGCTGTAGCCATGAAAGCCTCCGTGCAAAGCATGACCCAGAGGTAAGAAGCTGCTTTCAAAAGGGGTAGCTTAACCCATGGAGAAGACCCGGAAAATTAGGGGGTTTCTTTTCTTGTTGCTGTTCTTTCATCCTCTAAGAGGGAACTGGGCTTTTATCAGACTGCTACACTCGATTCTGATCAAAGCTGAACAAACTAACGAAACGTCTTGATTGCTAAATACTTCATGTGCAAGGATGCAGGCCCCCCAAAGTTACTAATACTCAAGGAGCACAAATTAAATTGTTCGGTAGCTGTTTTTGTTTGTTGAGCCTGCTGCTGTTACTGCAATCGCAGAATGTGTACCTTCACAAGCACACTACTTCCAAATAGCTACGGTCCATTCTCTTTCAGGATCTCAAACATTTTGTACGTCAGGCGGGAAGGGCTCAATGTGCTAAGAAAGTTAATGCGATCTCTCAAATAAAAGAGAGAGTAAAACTGACAGATCAAGTGAAAAGAACATTACAAACAGTTTAAGTAGTCTAATTTAGACAAGCGTGGGGACGGTACGTCTAAGTTACGTCCGCAAAATGAATGATAAAAAATGATTACTTTGAATGTTTAAAAAACACTTGCAAAATTCTAAGTATGTCAGGGTAGCCAAAAGTTAATTTAAAAATGTAATTATCCATCTTACGAAGGACATTTCAACCTATTTTTTTTCAGCCCTCTCTCAGCTTCTTCCTTCAGAATCAATTACTAGTCACTTCAGTCCCCTGAATCCTAATAACCCAATTCCGCCTTGTGCTTCCTCCTCCTCTCCCGCATCACAGGTTTGTCTTCTATTTAAAATGGCAGAAATATTTCAGGTAGCTTTTATAAACTGAAAATGGGATTTGAATCTTTGTCGATTAGCATCTCAGGAAGTTCCTTCCATTCCTTCTCCAATGAATCACTACATCCTTAATCCTCTAAATATATTCATCCTCTGCTGTTACAATTATAACTCGTTTTCAGGCTTTCTACGGAGCTAGCTCCTGTTTCGCCTGCATTTTTTCTTCCCAAATTCTATGTAACAAACTACCTAACAACTGGAACAGAATATCGGTAACATATATACCTGCTTGAAATTCCTCGTTGCCTTTTTATTTTCATTATCTCTTGCTCGCAACAATGGCCTTTTGAAAGCTATTTCAGGCCCTGGCACAGAAACACATCTCTCTTTTTTCTCCCCCCTTTTGAAGGACCAAGATCAACAATTTTATAAACGATTGCACTTAGCATCCTACAAAGTGTTAATCGGTGAAAGCTGATTTAGAGAGGTAAGAAAAAAAGCAGTATTTTCTAGAGGGTTACTGCTATAGAGCTGACATAAAAGAACAAAGTCCTTATCCATAAAAAAAGACACAGAAGACAGACAGAGGAGCTAGCAGAGCTGAAAATCTAATGGCTACAGTGCTTTTTTGATTTATCTATTAGTACTAAGTACTACTGGAGTTAGTGGAAAGAGAGGGTTTGACTTGGGTTAGGAGAGGGGCTAATATACACAGGGCAGGACATACCAACCTTTTCCAAGTGTGGAAACACGACCTATATTCCCAATTAAATCTAGGGAGAGATTTGTGAACATAACTTCCCCAATTTTGGCCCCTCTTACAGGGGTAATCCACCTTCTTAATGGGCAAGGGTGTCAAATGATATTTTAGATGAACCACAAGAAAAAAATTTAAAAAAAAAAAAAAATCTTAGTGACAAGACAAAAAAAAAAAAATCCACTGGAAGGAAGCAGTCCCAGACTGAAACCAAAATTCTGAAACCCCCAGACTTCTTTCTTGAGACAGTAGGCACTTAAATAGATCCGTTATTTTAATTTCCAGCCCTACGTCTGAATCAAGCAGCTGGTAGAAGATCACCCAATGCGCGAGGGCGCTCAGCGCTGCTGGCCAGCAGGCATCCTCTAGCCGCCTTTGTAACCATCCAGCCCAGTCAGTTTTCACTGGCATATCCACAAACTGGCATTAGCACCACGTCCTTAAAACTACAGTATGGTTAATGTGGAGCAGCAAAGAGCTTTTTAAGAGACTAGATAGTAATCCACTCCCCATGGCTACTGGCGTCTTGACTGTACACCATCCAGTAAATTCAAGGCCGTAGGTCTTATCCCGGCATTAAAAAAAACACACTATAATTTCCAAAATTTAGTAATGTCCATCATCTCTTTTTGCCAATACCATCAGAAAGAATAATCCCAATAACTTGGAAATGATGTAGATCCAAAATGGAAACATCACAAGCTGCCTTCGGTCTTCTCCACCATCCAAGCGTTATTTCCATGGCTAAGTGTTGTCTGTAGAATCCAAGGGGCTGCTTCATTAAAGTCTACTAGAAATTTTGTGGTGACAATCCAATTAACATACCGACTGCGTACAGTGAGAACTGAGAACTAGGCATCAAGCTTTCACAGAATTTTAGGTTCTAGTATTCCGCAGATACTCCACAGAGAACTTCACCACAAGTTGTAGAGTAAGATAGCTCCATCTGGCAGCAGGGATACATCCGAGCAAGGCCTTAATATTATCCAAGAAATGGAACCGTTACTTCTAGACCAGAGTAACTCCAATATCGATGCTGGCCAAAGGAAATCTTCCATCTTAAAACCACCTTATTTCAAGTGTAGATATCCAACCAGCTGCAGAAAACATCCTCTATGGATCCACAAGGTACCAGCCACTGGGATAGAAATAACTTCCGTTTCCAACCCAAAATAGGAAACATAGATAATTCCCAAAATTTTAAATCCATCTGGGGGCCCTAGATACGAGTTTGTGTTTCTCACCATATCAAATACAAAATACCTGCCTAGAGAAACCTTGGAACTTACCCATCAAGTCTCCGCTCATAACGTCCTTCCCGTGCATGAAGCGATGGGGGGGGGCCGTAAGTGGGCCCCCCACCACCTCCTCTGAACCCAGAAACCTCTCTACTACGAGATGCTATGGAAACTGTATCATCCAATCCCCGAGCAGCACTGGGAATGGTTCCTGGTTCATTATAATCCGTCCGTAGGTCTCTATCGCCCATTTTGTTGACAGAGTTGTGTGCTTTCTGCGCACTTTTGATGTCCACAAAATCCACAAACGCTGCCACTCCGCCTTCCGACCCCCTCTTAGGGAGGATTTTGACACTTTCGACACGTCCATATCTGGAAGAAAAGCAAAGCAGAGCACACACATTAGTGCGGGGAGAAAAAGACCGTGTTTCGTTTCATTTCATTTGCCTCCTGCAAAATCAGCATCAGCTTCCAACCGTTCACCCTTCCCATACGGCAGGAAAATCAATCTCCAAGCACGGCAGAGGTTGGAAGACACATTTTCAAGAAGGGAAAAGCCATTTGTAGAAGGGGAAAAAAGCCACTTAAACTTTCCATCGCTAGATTTACAACTCCTCTCTTTCAGTCGGCCTACCATGACATCACTCTCTTTGTAATAACACAGCAAGGGCAGCTGAAGAAATAGAAAGGTATTTGCAATTAGAGCTGCCCTTCTCAGTTTTAATTTGACGAGCAAGACGTAATTAAAACAAAACTGTGTCACAACAAGTAAAAATCAAGACATCTTGACAATTTTCTCTAAGGGGAAAAAAAAAACTACCTTGACACAGCAGTTCCACTACTCCCATCAATATTTAATCCATTCAGGGCTCAAACAAGAGTGTTTTGCGCTGATCCTCGTTCCTGATCTCAGACCCGTTCATTTACAGCGGCCCCGCAGGACGCTTTTGCCCCGTGGGCGACACAAGCACCCCCAGAGCGGGGTGCATCCGGGGTTCAACTTCACACCCCCCCACCACGGGCCAAGCCGCCCAGCAGGCGGGCTGAGGGACGCCACCGGGAAAAGAACACTGCCTGACTTAATGTATGTTAAGGAATTGCAACACCTATGGATGAGTAAAGGTCTACATTTTAAAAAAAAAAATAAATTAAAAACATGTTTGTGCACAGAAGAAAACACCACGTAAAAATGCTTTTAAATAACTCGCACCAAGTCTTCACAGAAGGGATAAAACGGGAAGCGCGAACACGGCAATGTTGTAGAAGAGCCAAGAACTGCAGGTCACATTTTGGTTGCTCATTTCTCTCAGCCAAGGGATTTTGAGCAAAACAGGTAAGGGCTTTTAACTGCAGTTGTTAAGCCATGACAAAAAAAAGAGGCAAAAAGCATATTTTTGAAGGTGGTGACAAAGGGGAAAGGGATACACAAATAAAAATATTATCAAGAGCTATTTGGAAACTCTATGAAGAATGACCACAAAAACGTTCTGTGTTCCCAAAGGCAGCACAACGCCGCAAACAGATCTTCCACGCGAAAAGCCGTTTTCAGCTACACCCGTACGAAAACGCTAACGCAAACGCCTGCCGGAGGATCGAACGCTGTCAGCACCCGCATCCGACTCTGGTTTACGCCTGGCTTTGCATCCACCTTACCATTTCATCAGCGCTGCTGGATGACTAATATTAAATACGATTTGAAAACCTGCCTCGCTCGCTGCTGGCTCCTCATTCCAACCTGACCGACTACGTTTTACACGCTATCTGCTCTGGGGTTAGAGCTCTCTTTTTCCCTCTGGTTTATACTCCACCCAACGCAGTGCACCGGCCATTAATGAGTATGTGTGCAAACAAAGAGCATCTCTGGCCTGAAAAGGCAAGGTCGCACACAGGACACATCCTTGCCTCTAAGCTGTCCAGGGCAGAGCTTGTCACCGTTGTGCTCCTGGGCACAGCACGGTGACATTAATTCTCGGGAGTTTCCTCACCTGCAATCTCAAGCTGATGCATTAGGTGTTTTTTTTTTCTTCTAATTAAAAGCTGTAAGGAGCAAATAATAGCAAATGCCACTGCTGGAAAGATACTTCTTGAAGTTTGCAACTCTTCTGAAGCTGGATATGGTTATTTTGCCTTGAAGGGAAGATTTAGAAAGAGCAGGAAAGTAGAGGGTATGGTTAATAAAATCTGCGTGAGGGAAAAAATGGCCTAACTGGATGTGGCACACATGACGTGGGAAGAAACAGGAAAGGAAGAAGGGGGAAGGAAAACAGGGAAGAGCCTATTCGAAAAAAAAATTTTGTGCCACGAATGAACATGACAAAAAAAGTATGAAAAATAACTCAGTATCCTGGGTAGCATCACCCTTTAACCTGCGTTTCAGTGCCAGTTCTCTGCAGACAACCAGTAAAAGAGCAGGACAGCAAGCTCTGACTCTCACACCCATGGAGTTTCTCTTCTAAACAACACACAAGTGACTGGTGAGAGCACGTACTCTCCTTTTGCTCACTGTTTACATGTTCGGTTTCTGGCAACACAAGCCCATATTTTGACTATAATCTTTGAGGGCAGGGGAAATAGTATCTCAAAACTACTCAAAGAACCTAAAATCCGAGCTGACCTTCTGCCTGCAGTCACTACAGCCTACATCGTGTGAAATTACATCAGAAACGGGCTCTGAAAGACTTCCCTCTCACCATCCTGATAATTCCTTTTATTTCCCGATTCTGCAGTCGTAACACGTACACGTTGTTATGACACACAGACCTCAATTATTTCTCTTCTGCTGCGGAAGATCCACAATGCATTAAAATGTTCAAATACTGGAACCGATGCCGCCCAGAAAGCACGGAAGATACAGAACATCGACGCAATATGCTCCCCACAAACCTCCAAAACCACCCAGCAAACACACAACTCCTGCAGCCAGAGCTTAACTCTTACATTGAGAAAACTGTACTTCGGTCACCATTGATTAAAATCTTTTTCATTTTTTATTTTTTTTCTCCTAAATTGGAACTGGATGGGGGTGGCTACTCCCGTATTGCACTGCAGCCACGGTCCTAACTCATCCCGCTCGGAGACGGCACGCTTAATCCGTCTGTTATCCAGATACATAAATATAGGCTGCGCTTTGGTGTCCTGCACCGTACCCGTGACGAGCCCCAGGGATAATCTGTGACAATCGTCTTTGCTGCAAGCGAGGGAGGCAGGCAGGGGGAGGAGAAAGGGAGCAGAAGGAGGAGGGGGGATGAAAGCAAACCGAGAAGGAGAGGGCCCCGAGTATTCAAGGACAGCTGCTGGGAGAGGAAGGTTTGCATTTTCCTTGCCCCAACGTGGTCCTGTGATTACACACATCCTTCGGTCCCCCACCGAGAAGATTAATCTGTCTAGTGATCCGGCCCAGCCCCACCCGTTGGCGTCTCTCCGAGCTGCTCCCGTCTTGGCAGATGCTGCTGGGAGGAGGACCGCAGCGGGGGGAGAGGAGGGGAGAT